AGTTGATATACACTTTTACTTTTTATAAGCCATTATAGCATTTAGTTGACATACACTTTCACTTTTTATATGCCATTATAGCATTTAGTTGACATACACTTTCACTTTTTATATGCCATTATAGCATTTAGTTGACATACACGTTCACTTTTTATACGCCATTATAGCATTAAGTTGACATACACTTTCACTTTTTATATGCCATTATAGCATTTAGTTGACATACACTTTCACTTTTTATACGCCATTATAGCATTTAGTTGACATACACTTTCACTTTTTATACGCCATTATAGCATTTAGTTGATATACACTTTTACTTTTTATAAGCCATTATAGCATTTAGTTGACATACACTTTCACTTTTAATACGCCATTATAGCATTTAGTTGATATACACTTTTACTTTTTATAAGCCATTATAGCATTTAGTTGACATACACTTTCACTTTTTATATGCCATTATAGCATTTAGTTGACATACACTTTCACTTTTTATATGCCATTATAGCATTTAGTTGACATACACGTTCACTTTTTATACGCCATTATAGCATTTAGTTGACATACACTTTCACTTTTTATACGCCATTATAGAATTTAGTTGACATACACTTTCACTTTTTACATGCCATTATAGCATTTAGTTGACATACACTTTCACTTTTTTCCTTTTCAGTTGGTTTGTTCCTATCTGTTCAAGCCAGTAGCCTTTTTAATGGGAGTGGAATGGAATGATGCTGGCTCCGTAGGAGAACTGATTGGAATCAAGACATTCTTAAATGAGTTTGTTGCTTACGAGAAGTTGGCAGAGTTCATCAAAAACAGGGAAGATTGCTTGGATGGCGTTTCATTATCTGTAGGTTTTAAATTCCAAAGTTTAACAATGTAAAGAAACCTATAGACAATAATGCATTGTTGTTAATCAAGTATATAGGAGAGGGTATCATAAATCACAGGAAGAAAAAGTCTATAAGTATTTCATGGCTAGCCCATTTTTATTTCAGATCAAATCTGAAGTGATATCAACGTATGCTTTATGTGGGTTTGCTAATCTCAGTTCAATTGGTATACAGCTTGGTGGACTGACACCCATGGCACCTAATAGAGCTAGTGATTTAGCCAGTGTGGTTATTAAAGCTTTATTTGGAGGTATTATTGCCTGTTTAATGACTGCCTCCATTGCCGGTAAGTATACAAAATATTCGTCAGTATAAATATCATATCACAGAGATATTCACCAAATGAAACCAAAGACATTTCTACATTTCGATCATGAATTTTTCCTGCAACACTAGCATCTTAACCCTTTTAACCCTGAGTGTAATAATATTTACATCATATACCCCGACTCCAAGTAATAAAGTAAAGCGTATGACGTTAACGTTGTATGACATCACTTAGCAACGGCCAATATACCGGCTGCTTGGGTATATA